AGAATGAAGGAGGAGCCCTTCCTAGCTACAGGAAGGAAGTGGAAAAAGTGGTTGGGCTTCTTCTGCCCATGTTTCCCTTGCCTGACCCCGCCTGCCAAACCTGTTTCTGTGTGCCTGCCTGCCCAGGGCTTGGCGTCAGGGGCATGAGAGGGACAGCAGTGGCACTACCCGAGCTCAGCCAGCAGAGGGACCCCGCTTCCTCAGGACTCCAGGCTCTTCTGCTGAAAAGAGGATAGCTACCACTGCAGCACCACCAGACACGGCCACGAGGGGGTGGCCTGCGCTGCGAGATGAACTCTTAGGGTTAGGCTGCAAAGAAGACCCAGGTGGACATGGCCTTGGCCCCAGAGAATCCCACAGGTGTGTCCCACAGCCTCACCTCTGAGCTGTGTGTGGAGCATGTGTGTGTGGAGCATGTGTGTGTGTGTGTGTGTGTGTGTGTGTGTGTGTGTGTGTATGGCTGAACACACACAACTGCATTTCTCCCTGAACATGTGGAGGCTTTGATGGTTCTTTTCTTTCTTTACTGATTGAGGTATTGCATATGTATCCTTATCCCCCATTGCCCCACCCACCCCGCTCATGCCCTCACCCCCCTGATGTCTGTGTCCATTGGTTAGGCTTATATGCATTCTTACAAGCCCTTTGGCTGATCTCTCCCCCTTACCCCCACCTACCCTCCCCTACCTTCTTCCCGAGCTGTTCCAGGGGAGCATTCAGCGATTCCTGGAGCTGCAGGCAAGGGGTGCACGCATTCCCTGGGTGGTTTACTTAGTTGTTGTTTTGCAAGTTAGTTAGTGGGAAAAGGCACTGAAATCTTTTCTGGTCTTCAGGGTTTGATTTGTTGTTGTTGTTGGGAGAGTTTATAAGAATTAGTGAAAGCAGCCCTGCTGACTGTTGGCCTTGGCTGCTCCTTCTGGACATGACTGGGTGGGTGTCCCCCACATATGCCAGGCTCAGTCACAGGCCTGAGGTGGGAGGAATAAATCTGCTAGAGAAACGTGCTGAAACTCGAGACACCACACACCTGGCATCTCCATCCATCTGACAGTATTCCCAGAACACCTACTGTGTGCCTGTGCTATGCTCATGACACACGAGGGCAAAAACAGACTGTTTACATGACAGATTGTGACAAATGCAATGAAAGAAAAGAGCAAAGTGCTATGAGAAAGAATAACTGGGGTGTGGAAGGAACCCGATGACTTGGGTTAGGTGGTCTGGGAAGGCCATTTTGAGGGTGTAATATCTGTCTCTCTATCCATCCATATGATCAAAGTTGCAAGAATCTGCTAGGCCTGGGGAGGGATGCAGGCAGTTCAGTTATGGTGATTTGAATCCCATTTAGGAGAGGCATTAATGGTGGATATACTGTGAAAAGAATCCATTAGTATAAGAATTAAGAGATGCAGACTCTAGTCCTGACCTGCCTCTGTCTTGCTGTGTGTCTTTGTGGAAGTTGCTTGGAATTCAGGTCTTTGGTGTTTTCTTTTTCTTTTCTCTCTCTGTGTGTGTGTGTGTGTGTGTGTGTGTTTCAGGTGCACCCCACCCACCCATAGGTTTGTTGTAGGGCTCAAATGAAGCAGTGGGTGTGTGAGCCTAAGGTCATTAAATTAGTTGGAGGGTGGATGAGAAGGATCTGCTCCAACAACCAATGGGGTTGACAAGCAGAGATGTGCAAGAAAAACCACTTGCCTGGGTCAGCATGGGGAAAGGGAGCAGTAATGCGCAGGCGTGGTTTTAGCCCAGGGGGTTGCGGACAGGGTGAGCTCAGTCCATTTGCTCTCTCTGCCTGGAAGGGTGGATACCAGATCCTGTGTTCTCAGAGGAAGAACATATAAAAGGCAGGGGAGCCTTTTCTTGTTTAGAGACCACACCTGTTAGAGAAGAAAGTCAAAGGAAGAAAGGCAGGCAGAGAGCCTTGTGGCAAGTGAGAGCTGAATGGAGAGAGCAGAAGCATAGGAAACTGGAGACACAAACAGGGCCTTTGGAGATAGGGAAGTAACTAGTCATGTACCAAGCCCACCAGGCTGCCTTGGGGCCTCAGATCTCATACCTCGGACCTGGCACACATTTCAGGTTGATCCATACATCTGCACACAGACGCACTCCTTCATTGTCATCAGATAAATGTGCACAAGCTCAGCCATGCCACTGACAGCCGAGTACGCTCCCTCATAGAGGCTGTAGTCCTGAGGTGTAGGTCCTCGCCTGCGTGTACTAACTCTATGACCTTGGGCAAGTTAATTTCTCTGATCATTTGTTTTCTCCTCTGTAAAGTGGGAATAAGAATACTTACATCATTGTGTTGTTGGAGTTCAGTGGAGGAGAGCTGCTCTGTGAAAGCATCTATCCTATTTCCCGTGACTCCAGCCCCACCATATTGGGTTGTCAATGAAACAGAAAAACCCAGGAGTTCAGAGACATCCTTGCTGTCCCCTGGCTTCCTGGCCTCAGGCATCTGGTTGCACTGGGCCCCAGAAAGAAGGCTACACATTTATTGAGCTAAGCATTTTTGCTAGGAGGCAAGGGAGAGGTAGCCCTAAAATAACCCTGCCTCCTGTGGGCCTCGTGCCCTTTCAGCACCAGGAATGTTGTCCAAGAAAATCAGGTCTGAGTCCTCTAACGCCCAGTCTATCCCCTGGTTCTGGGAGACCAATGCCCTCCCAGAAGAGAGAAGACTAAGATCATTTCCCCACCTCAAGTTGCATCTATCCACCCACCCACACACCCACACACCCATCCATCCACCCGAGAAATATTGAATGCCTACTCTGCCAGCACTGTAATAAATGCTAGAGACAAAAAACACAGAGTTACAGAATGTGACACCTGCTCTTTAAATATTCAGGGTCTGGGGAACAGTATGCTGCAGTACAAGCATAGATTTTTGGAGCCAAGAGTTCCAGGTTCAAATCCTAGCTCCATCATTTAGTTCTACATGGCCTTAGGACAAATCACCCCAAAGTTCTTATCTGTAAAATGGAGCTAATAATTTCTACATTTCAAGGTTCTTGTGAGGAGCAAATGGAGTAACATGTAAAGCACCTAGCCTGGGTGAGATGCGTAGGAAATAGGTTCCATGCCAGGCCCACTAAAAGCAGGCATGGGGGCAGGAGATGAGAAGATTCTATGGGGTTCACAGTTCTCACTGCAGCGAGATAACTGGTTTATTTAACCATATTCCGTCTTATCTCTGGACCCTTCCCAGTATGAAAACTGCCAGTATCAGGTAGGCTTTCCAGGTAGTTTAGGGGTCCTGCCTTTTTCACAGACGGGGTCTCTGGCCTGCAGGAGTTTACCAATTGCTCTGTATGTCCAGTGGAGGCTGGAAGTGGGGGGTGAGGAGTTGGAGTGGGCTTGAGTTTGTGAGGTTTCAAGTTCAAGGGAGGCCAGGTCAAACAAGGCAGCTGTTCTACAAGGTGAAGGAGAGATGACAAGACTG